GGAAAAGGAAAAGGAAAAGGAAAAGGAAAAGGAAAAGGAAAAGGAAAAGGAAAAGGANAAGGAAAAGGAAAAGGAAAAGGAAAAGGAAAAAAAAAAGGAAAAGGAAAAGGAAAAGGAAAAGGAAAAGGAAAAGGAAAAGGAAAAGGAAAAGGAAACCCTTTCTTCATGAAAATACTGACTGGTATCCAAACTACCATAAAAGTAACCTGGAATGGAGAAGTAGAAAATTATACTACTTTTTATACTAAATATACCTTGAAAATATCAATATATGCACTGAAGTGTAAATTTAAGTTTTACTCAGTTTTGATGACTGTTACTTAATGACAGAAAGCAAAAACAAGGAAGTGTTTTTCTGCCCCAGTAGCTGCCAAGTGGTTATGACATAGCAAATTTCCTGAGCTTTCTCATGGGTCTGTGTATAACACAAGGTTACCAGTGAGGCCATCCCAGTGTTTCTGATACACTTTTGTCAGTATTAATCTTATTCCCCTAGGTGGGCAAAACTCTCTATCTTAACACCTCCTAACATTTTATCATATGAATACAAATACACTTTCAGATGGATTTAATCTGAAAACCTCTCCTTTGCTTTAATTATGCAGTCATTATTACTAAGGACATCTAAAAAATGCTCATTCCTCAGATTACAACCCATGTAAAATTGTTTATTGTTGCACCAGACAAAGTCTAAAATTCTGTAAAACAAGGAGAACACACAAAACCTTCCCTATGCTAATAGGCCCTTACCAGTGAGAACAAGTTTTGCAAAACAGAGAGCAGATCTATTCAGCCCTCTTAGTTATTGTGCAAATTGCAAGTGAACATCTCTTCCCCTCCAGGGCATTTCTAAAAATTCTTATTTTTCAAGGAGAAGCTCAGTGTAAGACTGCACTTGTGCTGGGCTCCACTGGTGAGAGGTGAGAAAATCCCATTCCCTCTATGGGGAACAGAGGCCATGGCCAGAGGCAAGGGGCTCACAGGTGCCCTGGGGGCAGGACCAGCGCTGGCTCCTGGTTTGCCTTAAGGTCTGTGTCCTTTGTTTCCATACTGTAGAACTTGACATATGCCTGGCATGTGCTACTGCTCAAATAAAAACCCACAGGTGCCATACAGGCTTACTCAGAGTCAGAAGTTCAAAAGGATTAAAAAAAAAAGTAATATTATTTGTATGATGAAAAGACTGTTATAATGGAAACTGCACTTTTAAAGCCAAATACAAAAAAGTTTATTTCATGCAACTCACACCTGTCTAAAATTAGAATGGGTGCCTAGATGACTTTTTAATCACAGTGATACTTCATGAAAATCAACTCAAATCATCTTTTCCTGTGACATAAAAATTTCTAATATTCCAAAATTTTGCCATCTTGATAGTACTAACCTCAAATAAGAATGAAGCTATTTAAATCTTTGTAAGACATTGCATTCGATGAAAATAGCTACTATTACCCTATCATATCCAAAGTACCAGAAAAAAGAAGAAATTAAGGTACATTTTAAAAATATTAATAGAAAGTACAGCTCATAATTGTGAAACTAAAGCATAAGTATTGTGTATTTTTATACAGAGCTATGTGTTTTGAGAAAACACAGCAGAAAAGCATATGTCCTTGAAGAAAAATAACTTCTTAAATTGCATAAAAAAATTTATATGTCAAATTATTTACGCTAATTTTCAACACTTACCAAGCATACAGCAATTAAATCTACTGAGTTGGATAGTATTTTTCATGCTTTCCAAAAGGAAATATTGCCTGGATGAATGCAGTGAGTTGGGCTGAAAACTGCTTGAATCCCAGGCTTGAAGGGCAGTCAGTGATCAATAGTTTCTGCCCTGCTGGCAGCCAGCAATGAGGACAACCCTGCAGGGGTCAGTTCTGTGACCGTGTCACTCAACATCTCACCAGTGACCTGGACAAGGACGTAAGACTACATGATAACTCGTTCACAGATGACATCAAATCAGGAGGATGAGATGGGCATGCCAGATGGCAAAGATGCAACTAGAAGGACACTGCTCAACTTGAGGACTGGGCCAGGAAACACCTCACGAGGTTCAATAGAAGTGAAAAGGTCTGCTCCTGGAGAGGAAAAATCCTACATGCTGGGAAGTGATGTGTGAGCAGCAGCCCTGCCAAAAACCAGCTGGCATTTACAAAAGGTGCCAGGCTGCAGAACAGCCAGTGGTGCACTCTCTTTGCAGCATGGGATACTCAATTCTGCACTACACAGGCAGGGGATGGGGAGAACTCACCATCCCCTCTCACTCAATGCTGTGAAATGCCACAAGTTGACTAAAAATCATAATTTGGATAGAAGCCCTATACCTATCCACTTTAGAAACAGCACAAAATATTCCATGATGTCTGCCAATGCTACAGGAAAAATGCAATAACAGATTTTACACAGAATATGGAGAACTCTGACCTAGGAGAAGCTGCAAATATATAGATACAGACTGCAAATATCTTGTGTTGCATCATTTCATGTTTTTTCTACTTACTAACTAATTTAACATCCTCTTGGCTTATAAAGTGCCTTCAAGAGAAAGATTTAGCATATCACAGATTTTCTAGATTTTAAAAATGTTAGCATTATTTTTCTTTCAGTGAGTGTCAAATGAACAATTGTCAAAAACAATTCAGTGACAGCATTTTTAATGTCCACCAAGTTTCAGTTTGCATTGCAAATAATGGCATTCACAGAGCACTGCCAGAATGCTGTAAAACTTCTTTTCTTTCTGACCTTCTTTCTGTATTTAAATTAAAGATTCGAGGACATGCAGTTCTGTCCCTCAAATGTGCTTGGAGTTATACACAAATTATACTTCCTCATATCACGGTGAACTGCACACAAAGACTGGAGCAAAATATGGGCAAATGTTTAATAGAGTTGGCTTTAAAGAAAGCTACACAGAGTGATTAATTGCTATTTTACACACAATGTGCCAATTTGATTCCTAGTGTAATATTGTTAAAGCAAGCAGGATGACTTTAAGAAAATATTATTTTAAAAACCAACTTTGATATATTTTTATTTTCTTATAATAACAACTGCAGAACTAAAATAAGAATAAATCAGACTAGGTTCAACCAGGAAAGAGAAAGATAATATTATTTGAATAACTTAAAATTTTCTTTGGAAGAAATCCCATTAATCTACACAGGGATTTTTATACCAAATTTTAATTAAAAATTAATTCACATTCTCAATTCATAAAAAGTCTGCTTAATATTTTCTGTAGGTTTTCATAGTTCTTTCTGATAACAGAAGTGTGTGAAGAAATTGGAACTGATTAGCAGCTAGTTGCCCTGCTAGTTACTTTGCTATATGATCGACAGGGAGGTCTAAATTAATATAAAATAATGAAGCAATCTCAGTTGTATAGGGACCTGACTTGGAACAAGGAAGAAGCAGGCTGAGATCTGGGGATGTGTGGTAATGCACTGACAATTGTTCAAGCAGCTCTCTGGCAGATCACATACCTATCTAGTAATTTTATTTTCGGTCTCAGGACTGAATCAATCTTAAATAGAAAAATTGTATGTCATGTATGGGCAGAAAGGAAGACAGAGTCTGTGCATGAAATCTAACTTATCACCAGTGGTGGGATGTGAAACACATGCACAAATGGAAGACTAGATCATACCATATGGAATATAGCTCTTATCTAATAAATTACTGTTTTTTTCTTTTATTAAGAACTGCCCTCCTACTGTTTAATGTTTCAGAGATTTTCAAATAGAAAGTGCCAAGTCTTCTCCCACTTATATTAACTGAGGCTTAGCAACACATAAAAGACTGTTTTTAATCAAAAATATAGAACCACTTTATGAAAAAATGTAAAGTATATTTTGCACAAAAGCTGTTTTGGCAACACAAGTAGAAGTTGTTAGCTATAACACATGGGAGCCTCTGCTATACTCTCAAACATAATTTTAGATAAGAAAAGTGGATGGGGAAAAACAGAGCCAGGAAAATAAACTGTGTGTGTAGCAGAAAAACACTTGCATTTACAGTACTATCCAGCTTCTGGAGAGAAGCCAGAGACCCTCACATGAAATCTTTCTGTGCTTTTAACACAGTTGAAAAGCTTCAGGGATTTTTAATTGTATAAGCAGTTAGGGGGAAATGAGATTCACTGAGAGGTCTATGTCCAGCCAGTACTAAATGTGATGACTGCATCTCAGCATCAGTCATTTAGAATATGAACTTTCTGACTAGCAACTCATATGCATTTACCAAAATTGAAATTCAACAAGTTAGCAGTTTCTTTTCAGTCTGATTATACAGTCAGCATCCCAAAGCTAAAGCATGTACAGTAGGTCTCATACCTCTGAAATACAGTTAGATGTTTGGTTATCTTTTGATTTCAAATAATGCAGGTCTTCCAGTATTTATATTGTGATAAAATTCTAGAGCTTTAAAAATCTGCCCTTCACACAAGCCTAAGCACAGATATTTTAAAATTACTTAATGTACATCTTCATATTTTGTTAAGGCATGAACAATGGCATATGAATGGGAACAGCTTCCAGAAAAGCATATCTTTTTGACAAAGGCCAGTCCAAGCACATCACACCAAAGGACTAACCTGAAGCCAGAAATGACAGTGTTGTGACCCAAGAGTTTTTAACAAAAATAGTTGAAACAAAAAAAAAATTTTTCTCTTTTTCTTTTTTTTTTTTTTTTTTTAATT